GTTATTTCAAAATAACTACTCCTGCTTTCCATGGGGAATAACACTTATTTCAAAATAGTTATTTTAAAATAGCAGTAGAGTGGACACTCTACTGCACTTATTTCAAAGTAACTACTCCCCAGAGTCATGCAAAGTAATTACTCTCCAGTGCTTACTGTGGCTCTAAGGTGAGATAGCACATCTACATTAAGGGAGCCTGCTTTGGACTAATTTTGAGGCTTCTTTGTAGTGTGGACATGCTATTCAAAATAGTTATTTCGGGAGTTATTTCAAAATAGATTATTTTGAAATAATTTCCCAGTGGAGACATGCCCATACAGAACTCTCCATGTTGGTTGCAATCCTTTTTGAGTTAAGAAATTGTCATCTATAGTATGTAGAAAAATCCAAGGATTTTTAGTACCAGTCTTCCAGCATATTTCAATCAAATGGAAGCCCCCTCTGGATGATGCAATTTTTCTTTACACATTCTAGATAGCTGATTATTTTCTTCCTCAGTGTGGCTTAGTGATCTGTAGAAGACCCCATCAAAGGCCCCATGCTAGCTATATCCATCAGAACATCAGGCCATAAACATTCAAGATAATTTTTGTCCCAGTTATCAGTGACTCAGAATTTGGAAATGCTATTTGTGACCTCGCATGCCCACTCCATCTTTCTTAACTATGGTTATAACCATTGATGGTGACATCGTAGGTATGTAAATCACCCTGCCAGATTTCTGTAACATCAACAAGCAAATCCAATTCCTTGTTGGTTACCTGGGCTCCTACTTGCGTTGGTGTGGACAGGCCTGGACAAAGGGTTTGTGAGGCCCAAGGCAGGACGCTGGGAGCGGGCCCCAGGGCCCGGCTGGTGGATGGTGAGTACTCAGCAATGTGGGGCCCCAAAAATGTGGGGCCCAAGGCATTTGCCTTTATCGCCTTGCCCAAAGGCCAAGCCTGGATGTCGTGTAAACATAAAGAATCTCTTAATGGTCTTAAACTGCATCAAGGGAGGTTTAGGTTGGACATTAGGAAAAAGTTCCTAACTGTCAGGGTGGTTAAACACTGGAACAAATTGCCCAGGGAGGTTGTGGAATCCTCATCTCTGGAGATATTTAAGAGTAGGTTAGATAAATGTCTATCAGGGATGGTCTAGACAGTATTTGGTCCTGCCATGAGGGCAGGGGACTGGACTCGATGACCTCTAGAGGTCCCTTCCAGTCCTAGTATTCTATGATTCTCTTCATGTCCTTTAGCGCCTTGATTTTGTTCTCAGCATCGTGTGTGCTAAATGAGTGCGCTTATCTTCCCTCTTCTTATACTTCCCTTGTGTTTTACACCCTCTCAACTACTCCAGCCAGCCTGTCCCCATGGAGATGGTCTCCGCTTCTACTAAGGTGAAAACCATCCAAACTATTCAGCCCTCTCTCCCCAGAGACAGAGGACCAATGCTTCACCCCCTGCACAAGTGCTCTGTAAATGCTAAATATTGGAGTGATGCCATTGGACAAAAAGCTTTTATTTGGGTTGGTAAATAGGAGAGCTAGGGTGGGAGGGAGGCCAGGACACTGAAGATGAAACAAAGGGGGTGTGGAGATCAACAAGCTCTTTCTAATCTAATGCACCACATTCGCATTCCCTCGCTCTTCCACACACACACACACACACACACAACAGCAGCCATTTCATTTGGTGTAAGCCCTCCACTCCACAACAATGGGATCAGTTCAGAAAAAGCTAATGCCCTGATATAACATGGCCTTTGGGGAAAACACTGTACTTCTGATATAGAAGGGGGGGAAAATCCTCAAGTAGTCCCTGTTGTGCGCAGTTGGTGTAGGGGGCACTGAGAGACCCAATGGGATTCCCTGTGATTCTCAGAAACCACTAACAAGCTGAGTATATTGATCAAAGCCTCCATAGCTCCCTGGTGAAGGCAGGTAAAATAACATATTGAATAAAAGCAATTAATCTGCATCCACAATCAGAAAATAAATGGACAGTCCGTGCGGGCTCTGTTGTCCTTATACTTGGGGAAAAAGGAGGTTAAAATCCAGTTTGTGGAGTAAACAAAAGGCTGGGGGCAGCACTAATGTTCTCAGACTGCTAAAAACAACGTGGCCATAGAGGCAATGCTACAGATGTTACAAGCCATAGTACAGCTACCTCAGCTAACAGCATGTATCTTCAGCGTAAAAGCAGAAGGCCGTGCTTCTGGAGTTTAAGGTGCTGAGGTTATGGTAATGGTCCTCATCTTCATTGTAAAGAGTGGAGCTCTATGGGTGAAAAGCTGTATCAAACAGTCAAATATCATTATACCCATTTTCTAGATGGGGAAGCTGAGGCATTCAGAAGGAAGATTACCTGCTCTCGGTCACACAGCTAGTCATTGGCTGAGGTAGGAAAAGAATCCAACTCCCCTGCCTTCCTTTCCACTACATCAAACCACATCCCGATTCAGTTTCTCAAGACCAGCATGGCCGTGGAATCGTTACAAACACACATACAGCTTCATGGCCCCACTTGTGGCTAGGAGATTGACACCCATCACCAACACCACGCTATGTCTACATTGCCCCCGTTCGGCACAAAAAATATGCAAACAAGGCAAAGCATGGAATAGCGCCACACCTCATTTGCATAATTAATAAGGCTCTATTTTTGCACAAACCCCCTCTCTTGTGCAAAAGCTGTTCTTCCTGGAAAAAAATGCGGAAGAATGGCTCTTGCACAAGGGGGGTTTTTGCACAAAAAGGAGCCATGTAGACGGCTCTTTTTTGCACAAAAGCCTCTTGCACAAAAATGGAGCCTTGTTAATTATGCAAATGAGGCATGGTGATATTCCACTTTGCCTCACTTGCATATTTTTGGTGCAAAACGGGGACAGTGTAGACATAGCACCAGTGATTTCAGCCCCACTGTTCCTGGTACTTTCTAAATCGAGCCCGTAAGTAAGGGAACCAGCCAACAGTACTGGGTAAGAAATAGAGCAGAAGTGTTCAGTCCTGGCTCTTCCACTGACCTACGCTATCATCTTGCAAGTCTAACTTCCTCTGTTTCCCATCTGTAACATGATCAATCAACCCCTCCTCTGTTTGACTTTTTGGGTAGTCTGTAATCTCTTACTGTGTGTGTACAGGGTCTGGGACGGTCTTGGCTGGGGCCTGGACGCATTACCCTCATAAATAGCAGTGGTAGCACAAGGATACTCTAGTGGTAATTACTACATCAACGCCTAGCCGATGCATACTTCAAGGATACAACTGTGCCTATTTTCAGTGCTGATGACCCCCGCAGGATAGGGTAGTCATAGGAGTACAGGCAGTCCCCGGGTTATGTACAAGATAGGGGCTGTAGGTTTGTTCTTAAGTTGAATCTGTATGTAAGTCGGAACTGGCGTCAGCCGCTGCTGAATGGTAATTACTACATCAACGCCTAGCCGATGCATACTTCAAGGATACAACTGTGCCTATTTTCAGTGCTGATGACCCCCGCAGGATAGGGTAGTCATAGGAGTACAGGCAGTCCCCGGGTTATGTACAAGATAGGGGCTGTAGGTTTGTTCTTAAGTTGAATCTGTATGTAAGTCGGAACTGGCGTCAGCCGCTGCTGAAACTGATCAGTTT